ATGACAAGTGGGAAGCTTAACTCACAGAAGCCACCTTTGTCTTGGTTTTTGCAGAAGGGTCGAATCAGTCAAACGAGTCCATCAGCTGAAGCAAAGCTGTTTGACTGAGGCTCTCTGCTGTGTCCGCACCTGTCCCTTCCCTAGCTCTCATCAGTGAACTATCCTGCCATCTCTGGAGATATCACTTACCACCATTGAGTCACTGGGTAAGACAATGGAGAAGTCTTGTTCCTCTTAGGAACTTTTTGAATGGAAACTTCCTTTGGAAGACACCCCTGAAGGTCACCTTGCTGGCCCACTCAGGGATTTTCCCATGACCTCGTATCTCCATCAGGTATGTCCTAACAACAGGGGACATTTTCCTACATGGATGTACATGTCAGGCCTTTGTGTCTGTATGTGAAGGAGGGAAGAGAGCTATATGGTGGGGTTTTTTTTCCCCCCTCGAGAATGTGGGGCAGGTCCTGCTTCCAGCATTCCTCACAGCTCAGATAGCCACCCACTGGCTTTCTTCTAGGCATTTCTCAGAGGTTCTCTTCACAGGAGTCCTGCCATTGCACCCCAGCTCTTGTGCTGTTTCTCTGGTTTGAAGGATTCTCTTTTCTGTTACAGAAAATTCACTTTAGAAGTTAGTGGCTGGCCCTGTTGTCAGGCTCTGAACTCAAGCCTTTCTTCTGACATTTGCTGTTCTGCTTAAGATGGGTATTTGTTTGATCTCTCCCCTTTCCTGTGGGCAACCTTGATTTGTTTTAAACAGATCGACAGTCACATGTGTAAATGTATATGTAACTAGGTTTTAAAGAGCAGAGAGAACCATTGTCCTTAATTGACCTTGGGGTGACATATATAAGTGAAACAGTTTGAGAAAGGTAAACATTGTGGGGGGACCCTCCCTGGTGGCACAGTGGGTTAAAGTGCAGCACTTAAAGCCATGGCTGCTTTAGTGTCATTTCAATCCCCGACCCCAGAGGTGACCCACATGGCGCGCAGACCTCTCTTGACTCGCCTGCTGCTCCCCTCAGCAGTGTACTTTGTCAGTCTGCCCGTTCTGCTCCCCACTCTGCCTCTGGTGAATCCTCTCATTGCCTCTGTACCTCTGGCCTGTACCCCAGTTCTGGATGCATAAATAAATAAATCTTTAAAAAAACAAACAAATAAAAACATTACAGAAATTGGGGTAGGAGAGAATTTTGATGTAGCCTTTAAAATAGTGGCTGGCAAGGTGTTTTTTCCTTTCCAAATCACCTGGGAGATGTTACTCTGCTCATAGCAGCTCTGGGGGTGGGAAGCGGGGGTAGAGGAATGCTCAAGTTTTGGAAATGCTTTGAATAGTCCCTTTGTCCCGGGAGGATCACTGCTTTATAAATATGTCTTCTGGGTGGGCAGGGGGCTTGCGATAGAGAACTGGAACGCTCACAGAAGGCCATTCATGACTCAATCAGTGTTTATGAAGCACCTGTTCTGGGCAAGGCAGTGTGCTGAGCACCAGGGGCATGTGCAGACAGGTGGGTGGAGGCCCAGTCCCGAGGAGTGAGGTGCTGCTAGCGCTCACTGTCAAATGGGAGGGACTGAGGCTCACTCGCGGCCACCAGCGGCGCATTCCAGGAGTTCAGAGTACAGTGGGGCTGCTGCTCACTGCAGTGGTCACGTGAACGTTTAGTAGAGAAAGTGGCCTCCGGTCTGTTTGGGCTAGATTTGGACCTCTTTACACCAGGCCAGAGAGAGCGGTAGGTGGAGGAGACCACCTCCGAGAGGGGCTGCACCATGCGGGCCGTGGGGCTTGGTGTTGGGCTGACCAGAACGGAGGACCGGTGCCACGCTGGACCTGCGGAAACAGGGAAAGGTGGGGCAAGAGGCGACTCACTTCTAGGTGGACAGGAAGGGGGTTTCAGGACCCTCTAGAGTAGAGCAGGACTCAACCAACTGCCTTCCCGAACACCGTCCCCGCTGTACCATTCTCCCAGAAATGGTACAGAAAGTCAGGCCTCCAACTCGCCTTTTCCCAGTTACATTCATTTTTCCCGGCCCGGGTTGTAATCCCAGTAGACTTGCCACTATCTGTTCACCCGTGTGCCATCACCGCAGTCCTGTGCACTCTTCCCGCCCCAGTTTTGATCTGGTTCCTCTCTCCACCCCTGCAGGATGTCTCTGGTTTATAGTTGTTTGTTGATTTTCATTTTTACTTTATTACACTTGCTTTTTATCCCCCCTCCCCCCCCCCACCGATCCCTTACACTCCTGCTATAACTAAAGCCATCCAGTCTTTTTCTTTTTGGTTTATTTCACTAAGCATGATCCCTTCCAGCTCCATCCATGTTGCTGCAAATGGCATGAGTTTATCTTTTTTGATTGCTGAGTAGTATTCCACAGTGCATATGTGCCACATTTTGATCCAGTCATTTGTTTTTGGGCATTTGGGTTGATTCCATGTCTTCCCTGTTGTAAATAGTGCAGCAATAAACAGGGGTGCAGGTGTCCTTTGGAATTAATGGTTTTGTGTCCTTTGGGTAGATTCCTAGGAGTGGAATTGTTGGATCTTATGGAAGCTCCATTTTTAGTAGTTTGAGAAACCTCGAAACAGCCTTCCATAGTGGTTGGACCAGTTTGCATTCCCACCAGCAGTGTAGGAGAGTTCCTGAAAGAGATATCTTCTTATGGTGGTAAAATATGCATTGCAAGGTTTACCATTGCAACCATTTGTAAATATAATTCATTGACATCAAATACATGATTATGTTACATAACCAAGACTGCTCTCCAGTTCCAGGATTTTTCATCATCCTAAACAGAAACCTTGTACCTGGGAAAAGTAACCTCTGTTCCCCACGCACGCCCACACCCCACCATACCTGTTTGCCTGGTTCCCCTGTCCTAAGTCCCTGGTGCGAGTGGAATCATACACGCCTTGTCCTTTTGTCTGTGGCTTTGTTCACTTCCATTACATTTCCAGGGCTCACCCTTGATGTAGTATGCAGCAGACTGGCCTCCTCCGTGAAAGACTGAATATTGCACCACTGTGTGTTTCTGCCACATTTGTCCCTGCATCTGTTGATGGACTTTTGGATTCAAATCCTGCCTGTCTGTTTATTTATCAGTTTGCAAGGGTATAGTCAGAAGTTTTATTGTTTATTGCGGCAGCATTGGTTACAACACTGCATATGATTTAGAGGTTTAGGATCACCCCTTTCAGGCATATGTTACCACACAACACCCCCACAGACACCACAGTCCTTGTGCTACCACCCTGCTTTGTTCTCAGTGCCCCCTCCTAGCCTCAGTTCCACGGGCAGATTTCTAGGATTTCCTGTTGGTTTGGCTTTATCTGATCCCTTTTTGTTTGTTTGTTTCTCTAAATTCCACTTATCAATGACACCATTCAGTGTTAGTCTTTTCACTTCTGACTTATTTCACTCAGCATCATGCCTTTCAGCTCCTTCCATGTTTCCTCAAACGACACTTTCTTTGGTGATAGCTGAGCTGTAGTCCAGTGTGCCTGTTGCATACATCCGCATTTATGCATTTGATGTTTTTTCCTCTTCTGCGTCACCTGCCTCCTTCGCCTAGGTTGAGTCACCCTGTGCTCAGGCGCACAGTGGCCGGGGGCCACAGGCATTGCTTTCAGACCTGGGTTCCAATTCTTTTCTTGTATGGAGGGGGAACAAGACATTTAATAACTCCTGGGTACACTTGGCCGGTCTTTACATTGGCGGTGATGACATGCAAGGTGGGGGAAGACTGATGTAAGGATTGGTCATTCTAGAACAGTGTCTGACACAGAAGGGCCTGTCAAACAGCAGCCCTTAAAGAAATCAACTCAGACTGACTTCCCTGAATATTTTCCTTCTCTCCTACAGGAGTTGTTATTTATTCTGAATGAACATGCCAAAACTCTAGAGCTGAGGTAGGGAGTTTCTTTCTGTCTCATTTCTGGCCTCGAAGCGAGTGCTCATTTTCTTAGATTAACAATGTTCATCCGTAGGGACCCACTGAACTTGTATCTTCTGTGTGCAGTGCAACCTAAGTGTCATCTCCTTCATATTTCTTTTATACCTTGTAATACATAGGTCTGCGTGTGTGTTGCGTTATTTATTGTATATCCACCCCTATGAATGGGATCTGGAAGTGATTCTGTCTGTACCCGCCTGTGAGTATTACGTAATCTATGTATGCCCTAAGAGGTGAGGGATTCCCAAAAACTGTTTTGTGGTGTGCTCTTTCAGTCATTCTAGTTTCGACATCAGCAAGTAGCCAAGGTACCTGTGAAACCACTTCTGCCCATCCAAGCCTTGGGCCGCAACAGAGGTCAACTAGCTGAATTTTACTTTAAAGCAAAGAAACTTAGTTGGTAAGAAAACTTGAGGGCAGCAAATGGAAAGTATTGATTCCTTGCTGGTTGTATAGGACCCCGGAGTCACCTAGAACATCTTTCTCCTTGGGCTCAGAATGAGGAGATGGTCCAGGCACAGCGACCACGGCCAAGAATCCCCTGTGGGATGGGGGCTGGACAGTGACCTCTACTTTCCTTTCTACCTGGTACCCTCTGCCTCTCTTTGGAGCGTCTGAACACTCTGTCTCTAGGGAGAGCTGACTGCTCTTTCGGTTCAAGACAGCATGGCTTAGGCAAATCTAGCTTTCGTAGTTTGCCAGCCAGGGTTAAGGAGCATGCACCCGACGGCTTTGGAGTGGCAGGCTGAAAACACAGCAAATGGTCCTGCTGCTGCTCTCTTGTTCCTCCCCAAGGCCTGAGTCGTGCCCAGCCAGTGGGGGACAAGGGGGAGCTTTCAGCCCTCGGTAAATAGCCCATTGTACAAGGGCAGGAGGTGGAGCAAGGAATGGCAGCATCTTGCCAGCTTGGCTTGCTGCTTTAAGGAAAGATGTCAGGATTTCTTCATTTGCTGCTGTGGGGCAGGGGTGCTATTTATGTGGGCTTGTTTGAGGGCTGCATTCCTAGGGAATTATTCCATCAAACTGGTATTCAGTTGGGCGAAAACTTGAGGAACTTGGGGAGGAGAAAATGATCCAGATCACGTTTGGTGATCTATAAATAACGGATGAAATAAAATGTTAAAGTAAGTATAAGTTTGCAGAATTGCAAGAATCGTGTCGAATGTGTGCGTGTGTGTGTCTTAGGAGAATGATGTCCTTGTCGGTCACCTCTGGCTCTGAAACAGTTGTGTTTTTCTTCCTGGTGCAAACAATATGGTAAGAGGTGAACCTTTGTATACAGTGGACCTTGAACCCACAGGCCAGGGTAACCTGATAAATGTTAGTGGGATGTGGAGAGTTGAGCTGGATTTCAGATACCAGGCTATCAAACAGTGTTATGGAGTGTTGTCATACTGGGAGCATCTTCAGAACCCACCTGCTCCTACTATTCCTACCCTGGATTGGGCTGAAGGGGACTGTGAGCCCCATGTACAAAGAGTGTGCTAGATAGGCTTAGTGGAGAGGAAGAGTGGCCCAACAGATTAAGAATTGCTTGTGTGAGGAAAAGACATGCATTTACAGTCGGCTTGGTGTCTTGGTCTTGGAAGACACTTTGCAAAGCTCGTAAATCTCCATCCTCAGTTTCTTTATCAGTGTTTTGTGTTGCACTATTTAGCTAAGATAGAGAATGGGAAAGCTGTTTCCAAAACACCAGCTCATATTAATTGTGTTCCTAGTTATTCTTCCCAAAGTTTGAGAACAGGTGTCAGGATTTCTGATTTTTGACAGTCATGCAGTCCATTGCAGGGACCAGTAGCCTGCCCTGGTCAGCTATTTCAACCCAGGTCTATTTAAAGGTGCCCTCTGCTCTGATTCTTTGCACTGTGCTTGCACCAGATTTCCCTGATCATTGCCTGTGGCTTTAGATTCCAGCTTTATAGAAACTAAAGAGACCCAGCGGAGCAAAGCTACTTTGGCAGGTACAGGGAGGATATCAGTACATGTGCAGGAAGAAGAAGCCAATAGTCTTCTGTGTTCCTGACTCAGAAATACTGACAGTTAAGCTTTTAAGCCGATTGAACCATATTCTTAGCAAATAGCAGCATGATTATATCCTGATAAGATGATGTGAAATTTTGCTTTTCAAAGAATTTTAAAAATACATCCCAACTAGAATGGTATGAGTGCAAGAGTAGAATGTGTCTATGTTTTAATCATTGAAGCAGATTGCGTGAGTCTTGAGACTTCTCAGGGACCAGTGGGTCATCTTAAAGCGTGGTGTTCATGTGCACTCACAGCATTTAAAGGCTATTTTTCTTGTGGCTAATTTTCTCTGAAGTTCAGTCTGCTTCTATTCCTAAATACCCCCAATACCTTGTCTTAATAGCAGTTAAGCCGAAAGGAAAGAGGGGTATGAAGCATCTGTTTCGTGTTGAAGGACTGCCGTTTGCATGCCTCAACTCTCTGCAGCCCAGACTCTAGTGTTCCTGTGTGTGGCATTAACCAGTTTGTCCAGCAAAGCTGTTCTGCAGCTTGTTACCTGGTTACCAGCTAAGAGGCTGGGATTATTAAACTGCTGCAACTTGTCATTATCACCCACTAAAGATAAGAATTTGGCAGGACTTAAACCCTTAGCATTCCAGATTAATATCTCATAAAAATGTTCATGCTACCAAATCTGTCATTTTCTGAATTTTTTAAAAAGAATTTCTTTCCTAAACTTTCTCTCCTCCCCCCCCCCAGAAATAGATTTTTTTTTTTCTTAGCATAATCCTGTCTGTGGCTTGACTGCTGTCGATACTTAAAATAGGAAAAATGAATTGCCTGTTTATGACGGTCATTGTTTATAAAGGAATTATGTACTCTTCTCCCACAGAGCTGTGATTCTGTCGACTAACCCCTTGAACATTCCCACAATCTAGGCTTTATGGAAACTGCTTCAGGGGCTGTTGGGAGAGAAGGGGGTGGACACATGCTTAAGGGGTGGGCAGCTCCTGTTCAGACACGGAGCACTGTGGGAGTGATGCAAGCAGCCAGAAGACTGCGACTGGGGGGAGGCAGCTCGCACATGGCTCCCCATGTTGCTCTGCATTTGTAGGGCTGCAGAACTGCTCATGAAATCTGGCCCCCACGGGGCCGGCTGGACTCAGTTTGTGGCCTGTTCAGAGTCTTTGTGTAAAGCCTCCTATCCTCAGAGAGGCCTGCTCTGCTCGCTGGGTCGTGGGTCCCCCTTACCCTGGCCTGCGGCTAGGGCCTGTTTCATCATATGGGCTGGCTGGTTGAGCACGTGGACCAGGATTCCAGCAGCTTCCAGCTAACGCCTGGCACACACTGGCCACTCACGTATGTTAAGCGGCCCGAGGAGCTCAACTCCTCGGAGTTCATCTGCTGCGAGTGTACTGTCGGCCATCTGTTTCTTCCTTGGGTGTCTTATTTTGGTTCAAAAGTCCTCCCCGCATCTGATCATTCATTTCAGACTGTGCCCATTGTCTCTTTATTGGAAAAACAAACAGAAATAAAACAGTGTGTGTTTTCAATACTGGCACTGGCAGTGACACTAACTGATGCCTATCTCTGCCCATGGGTGGAGCAGTGGGGTGACTCTGCTCCAGCTCCTCATTGGCCCATCCTCCGCTCTCCATTCTCCTGGGAAGTCCAGTATGGACTTTGTCTGCTAGTTACCTTTAGCCCAGTGGGCAGCAGCGCAAGACTCAGCATGTGACTAATGCCCTGAGAGACCTTGGCCGGCTGGCCAGCTGGGTGAGCACCGTGGAGCACTCCGGGGCCCTGCCTCACCCCCCACCGCCCTGCCTTTTCTGTTTCTGCAGTGGGGTGTCACCCAGCAGTCAGCTGTTGGTGGCCCCAATGGTGAGTGGTTTTGTAAGTCTGGTGCTTTCTCTCCAGAATTATGGCCTGAAGAAATGTTCTTATCTGCTCTTCTTTGTTGTCATGTTAAACCTCACATTTTGTGTGTGTGGTGTGTGTGTGTGTTTTGTGGTACACTGTATAGCACAACACAGAGCTGAAGGGTGCCAGACTGCATGAACTAAGCAGAACAGATACATTAGTTGGCTCCTGTAGTTTTGAGGGTGAGTGAAAATACTTGATGTTCTGTTAAAATAAATTTTTTTTGACATTATATTTTTAAACTTAAAAAGTATTTCTATATCTGGAGAAAGAAAAATAGTTCCACTTTTGTGACCAGGGAGTTAAAGAGACCATGTAGCTAGTAGCTCACAAATACCCAGCTTGTAGTTAAATGGAAGTCTTGTGGCGTGGCCAAGAATTTTTGAATCTTTCAGATCATTGGCTATGATTTTCTTTCTTTTACTGCCAAAGATACTATGGGGAAATTATTCAATCATTTTCTAATTAGGATTATTATGTATACTGCATACTTATTTTTTATATGGTTATGTATATAAATTATAACCTTCAATTTGAGCTTTTATTACAGGTTGGCATCTAAATTTCTTCTGCATATTCTGGCTTCTTAATTTTATGTGTAAATTCCTTGTGGTCAATTGCTGTATTTTATTACCTTTGTACCTTGCTATTCTGCATGTAGGACTAATCACAGAGTATTGGTAGAGGAAATAAGAGCTGGCATTTATTAAGCAATGTCTATTGCCTCATGAATTCTGAGCTCTTGGTGTGAATCATTTAGTCATTATGAAAGACCTATGTGATAAATGCTTTTAAAAATATCCATTTATAGATAAGGAAACAAAGGCACTGGGAAGTCAAGTCATTTATCTCAAATTATCAGCCTATAAGCTGGTGAGGCATGTTTTGGCCTGAATCTGGGCTCTTATTTACTGTTCTAAATGTTCTCTCATCTACTGAACATACTCTTTCTATATTTGATGGTTGGTTTAAAACTACTGTACACCAATTTATTCGTTGCTTTTTAGCTGTAGCATCTTGAGGAGCATAAAATTAATTACTTTGTCAGAATAGCCAACAGTAGGTTTCCCTGTATTAATTAGTATTCTGATTTTATGGTACCAAGAGGATGGGGGAGTTAAGAGACACCCCAGGATCTAGATTAGTCTCTTTGAACAGCTGTGAACTTGTTCTGAGATTTGTCAGAGGAAAACAGGGCTTTTCGTGCCTTGGGCTTGTCTGTGCTTCTTCTCTCCATTATCTGTGACAGTGAGTGGGGTGTATTTGAGTAAGTGGAAGAGAACTTATTTGTGCATTTTATTTTTCTTTTATAATTTTTTGGAGGACAGCAAAGGTGGATTTAATTATTACCCTGCAAGGGAGCAGAGATGAGACAGGAGATGTCATCTGCACCTAAAGAAGGGCTTGAGACTCTCTTTATACTCTCGGGGTGCACTTTGTGCCAGTTACATGCTAAGATGTCTTGTCTTGGGCATTCACCTTTGCCATAGAATGTGCCTGACTCTGCTTCTACATTCCTGGAACTCTGTAGGTCATGGTCAAGGTGATCAGATTCGTGTCTCAGTTCCCATGGCAACCTTATCACTTCCCCTAACTATTCAAGCCCCCCAAACTTGCCTGGTGGGCAAGGAATGGAGGCTCAGTTTTAGTCAGAGTAATAACTTCCTGACATTTTCTCTCTCTCTTAAGAGGACAGTGGCAAATCTTTGTTTGTAGGATAAAGGTTTGGCTTCTGTCACTGCTTTGAGCTGAATTTTGGGGTATAGAGATTGCCCTAGCTAGATTATTGTCATCTTGGGAAAGTGGGGAGCCAGGGGGCAAGGGAATGAGATGGTCACCCTTTTAGGCCAGGGTCAATTTCAGCTGTTAGGTGTTGTTCTGAGCTACTCTGGGTGGTGCTGGCTGTCCCAAACCAGGCACCCAAGAGTCCAGGTCCGTATATTCAGCAGCCACCTGTATCTGGGTCTCAGCACTCCGTAACTGGTACTGTGTGACTGGAAGCTGTACTTCGATGGTCTGTAAATGAGAGGAAATTAAACTAAAATATTAAGAATGCAGGGTCTGAAGAACCTACTGGGGGACTTTTGTTAGGAGGTTGTAATTCCCTTTGGACTTTTGTCTTAAGGGGACATTGTAGCCCAACAGAGGAGAGGGGCAGGAAGGCCAGTCCACGCATGAACGTAAACATGCGGGCTCATGGTGAACAGGGCAAGGGGTGCTTGAAGCCTCTGGCCTGGGTTGGCCGTGAGCACCAGTGCAGACGATCGCCTGGAAGGTTGGAGCCAGCAGAGTAAATGCCCCCATATCCACCCAGAAGGTGGCCTCTTTATCTGCTACTTTAGGGTCACCTCAGGCTCGTTCACAGAGATAGTAATGAGGGGAGCCCATCAGAAGAGTTGTTGTTCTCCTCCCACAAAGAAAGGGTTCTTCATAGGCAATGACCATAGTCAAGCCAGGTGGCCATCTTGCCTTCTGTCTGGCCCGTGGTTTGAGCTGGCCCCTTCTGTCCGGACAGTCCTTCTTCCGATGTCCTGTGCAGAGGGTACAACCCCGGGGCAGTCTCTTGAGACACTCATGACTGAGGCTCCCTGGTTACTGGCAGTGGAAGCAGGCTGTGGGCCATTTAGGCAGTTGAGGGCCCGTATGTGTTTGGGCATTTTATGGTGAGAATTCTCTGTGAGTAAAATCTTTTTATTGCAGCCAATGAGAACTTGACACAGGGTGATAAAGAGATAATAGTAAAGTGAATTCTGAAAGTGTTTTCCGGATAAGTAAAACTGGACAGCCTGGGCCAGTCACTGTGGTTGAATCTTTCAATACCTTCATCTGCCAGCCAAGTCACTGAGTCAGATGGTTGGTGTTGGGGAATTCTCGAAGAGTCCTGCCATCATGAAATGAGCATATTGTTCTCTTCTGACAGAGTTCAGCCTAAGGAACCAGCAACACGGGACAATGCAAGCCCACGAATTGTTCCGGTATTTTCGAATGCCAGAGCTGATTGACTTCCGACAGTACGTCCGCACTCTCCCCACCAACACACTCATGGGATTCGGCGCATTTGCTGCGCTCACCACTTTCTGGTACGCCACGAGGCCCAAAGCCCTGAAGCCACCATGCGACCTCTCTATGCAGTCAGTGGAAGTGCCGGTAAGTGGAGGGGCTTTCCCTGTGCTTCCCCAGATGAGTTAAACCTCACTGAATGATTTATAGTGTCAAGTATGCGCTGAGCCAGAGCACGCTCAGCAAACAGCAGTTGTCCGATTGTGATCCATGGGAGTAGAGGCCAAAATACAGAGCAGAGAGGAGAGTGAAGGGGTGTTGGATATGTAGCCACTGGAAGCGTGTTCCGGGCTTATTCCAGAGACCACCTGGCGCTTCAGCCCTGTGCTCGACTCTGCAGTAGGCCCAGAGGATTCCACAAAGGAGAAGGACAGGCACTGGTCTCTGCTCTCACAGGGCTCCTGTTCCAGAAGAAAGGAGGGTGTCAAGCACATGTTGTAGAAAGAAGATTTTCACTTGTGGTACATCTGACGTTAGAAGACATCTCCCAGCTGTTGAAGGGGGCTCTGGGGGGTCAAGTAGGATAACATTAGGCTAGGAGCTTGGCTGCACAGTTCAGCATAGGACACGAAGAAACAGTGGCATGCAAGAGGCCGCAGGCTGAGGAGCTGAGTGCCACGACTATCTGTAGTTCGGCTGTCGGTCACGCTGCATCCTTGTGAGAGTTAAACCACCGTGTGCACGTTCTCAGTAGGGCTTCACCTTGGGAAATTCAAAGGCCCTTTCCAGAGATGCCTTTTCTGTGCCCTGTCTTCTTTTCCTTCCGAAGCTCTTTTCAAGGTCACTGAAAAACCTTTTCAGGGTTGAAAATAAGAAGAAGCCCAGTTCTCCTGGTGTTTTTTTTTTTTTAATGATGATACATAGTTTATTTCATTTTTTTTCATGGTCTCTTGCAATGTTTAATTCTAAAATTCTGTTTATTTTTATTTTTATTTATTTATTTTATATAATAGTTTATTTTTACATTATTTTGTCCTTTTTTTTTTTTTCATCTCAATTGTAATCCCCATGGGTTTCCCATCATCAAGTCATCTCCTGGTGTTTTATCTCCTCACCTACTCCAGGCTTTGTAACTTCTTGTTTTCTCCTACAAAGCAAAGATTAATTTTCCGCATTTCAACATATGTACAGGAAGAATGTGGTACAGGAGAGAATCACTTCACTTCCTGCTTTCAGATGCACAGGCGAAAAGCCTTTCCCTTCTTGCTCCAGGGCGGCGGGGAGGCACCGCCCTGCATGTTATGGGGAAGGCGTAGGGCTTGCGTCTGTAATGTGAGACTGTTCAAATATATAAAGCTGTGTCAGTGGATTTCATGTGAAAATGTAAAAGTAGGACTGAGCTACTGCTAAGGAAAGTTGGCTTTCTGTTAGAAGGTAAAGATAACTTAATACTTTACCTCAGCTAATCACATCCTAATAGTGAGTAGCTTAATTTTTTATTCGTGTGAGGTATTGGGCTTTGCTTCTTTTCTGCCAGAAGACCTGGTAACTCATGTTAGCAGTTTCCATTGCTCTGAACTGGGTACTTGGTAAGTTCAGGTTTAAGATATTTATAACTTAGCAGTGACTGTACATTTAAAAAAGCTGAGTCTTACTGTATAAGGAATTGTGGAAATAGTGTGATTTTGAAGTTCTAGTTTAGCATAAAGTCATTCAGTCTTATTAAAGCAATCATGAAGTTTCTTTGTAGAACCATTTAAAATGACAGATAAGCAAAAAACAATGAAAATCTGTAATTTCACTGTTCAGTATACAAATTTGCTGATTTTTCTCTGTGGCTAATCAAGATTTAGCTCTGATTTTGAGAATTTCTAGGTCTTAGGACACTTAATTTGCTCTGCAATTCTAAAAAAGAACTTAAACTACTGAAGTTAAGATTAACATTGTAGTTATGATGCTTAATAATTATAGATTTCTATAGCTAGCATCATCGTGTGAGCTTGTGTGCTAGGAAGAGGAATTTAATTCATTGTTTTCATCAAGACCCGTATAGCTTGCACTGTTGCAGGATCTGGTCACCAGAATGAAATGATGTTGTTTTGTTCCTACTTTGAAAACAAGCGAGCACTATCCCCTCTGCTTCCACTCCCATTTTATATGCACAGCTGCTCACCTCCTTCATCCCACAACTGTGTGTGGATGTTAGAACGAGAGGAGTCTCATTAAAATGAGAGGATGCTAAAACGAGTGACTGCATCACTCCCCACCCAGCAGTCGCCCAGCACACTCTTACACACACACACACACAACCCGACAGCACCAAAGTTCTTTATAAGTAACAGCTTCTAAAATCCCCTAAAAAAAGTCAGGGTGGTGAAGACCGGTGGCAGAAAAGGCAGTCAAGGCATAAGCAGTGAAGTGTGGCAGAGATGCTTAGGTTGGGGCTAGAAGCCAAAAGGTCTTGCTTATATTCCTCAGCCCGGTTTGAGGAAGACCCTGTTTAGACAGCTGTGTTTCCCCCCAGGCCCCGTCTGCAGTTTCTACTCCCAACCTGAAACAGGTCTTTCTGCTGTTGCCCCATAACTGAGCAGTGGATGGGGCGCACGTGTGTGTGTGTGTGTTTCATGTCTTTCAGTGCACGAGAGGAGGGTGTCCGATTGTCACTTGCCTTTTCTTTCCTGTGAGGTTGCAATCCATGTCCCCCTGGAGATGACTTCACTTGAGACCCTTTGGGTTTGGGCCGGGCCCAGGCCTTGGCAGGTGCAGTGAAGGGGAAAAGGGGAGCAGGCTGGAGCCAACAGGGACCACAGAGGTCAAGAGACGGGCCAGAGGTGGGGCCGACCCCTCTGCTTAGACCAGGCAGGTTGGGCAAGTCCAGCAGACTCTCCTGACCTCAGCTTCCTCATCTGGAAGACAGAAGTGACAGGACCTCCCTGCCTCTGTCGCTAAGAGGGCGGCATGCATGCGTGTGGGTGTCTGGCTGGCCTTGGCCCAGGTTCCGTGGAAGTTCGTTTTCTTCCCACAGGAAGGTCTCTTTTAGCCATAGCATTTTATACACAAGAAAACTTGAGTCCAAAGAGGTGAGCTTGTATCATACAATGAGCAGAAGATCTAGAACTCTTCATCACAGTTGTTGAAAGTAGTAATATCACCAGGGTTCTGTGGTGGGGCAGAGAAACACAGATGTGGACAACAAGGAAAGATTGTGTCTTCTAGATCAACTGGAGAGTCGCGGCTGTGGTCTCTAAATCCAGGAGCTTGCTTTTTCGAAATGAACGTGAGGGTGCAGGGATGCGGAGGTAGTGACGGGAGAGATGGAAGACGAGGAAGCTGCTAGCGCAGAGCCGCTACCCAGGAGCAGGAGGGGCAGGTCACACCACCGACTCAGACTCGGGCGGTGGGGCGCGAACAAGCGGCAAAACCAGCTGTAAGACGGCACTCGAGCCAGGTGGGGCAGCTGGTGAACGCTAAGGGAAGGGAGAAATGCTAGGAGTCCGGTGGCTGCTGCCAGCAATTTATAAATACAGCTGCGAGCACACACGTGAATATGATCCTGGAAAACGGCAGGACACGTGAGGCTGTGGGAGGCGAGGGTGCTCAGACCTCGCAGCCGGCTGTAATCCTGGCGTGAGTTTTGACTGGTTTTAGGCGCTCACTTTCATTTACTGTCTGTACTTGTGGGTTCTCGGCCAGTCTTCCCCACTGCTTGGTCTTTCCTTTTGCTGATTGCAGAATAATTGTGTGTGGGGGGCAAATAAAGATGTGAGCAAAGGTTGGTGACTCTGCCCCTGGCAACTCTGCTGCCATATCACTCAGAGAGTTTTTGAACATGCCTTCCTGAAAAGTGTGACGCGTTTGGGGGCATTTTCAGGAGCAGCCCTAGCAGCTGGGGATGAACAGAGGGACTTGGAGAGGGTGTTTGTTTAGAAATATTTCCCTAGCAGCGTGCAGAAATGAGCCTCCTCACCCCTTTAGGTAGCTTTAGCACCTTACGCCTTAATGGACTTGCTGATCACAAACCTTGGAAGCCCTCGTGAGCTTACTTTCTGTTGCTAAACTCACACCATAGCAAATTCACCTGAATTGCTCTCTGTGGCTGCACATGTCTACCGACTTGAACTGACTTGTGACTTCAGTGAGGTGGTAGCAGTGTCAGCGCAGGTGATGGGAGCAATGACCTCTGGGTGAGACGCTTTGCCAGGTGAGGGCCGGCTCTCCCGGAACCAAAGGCAGAGCTTCTGGCCTTTGTGCCATGACCAACTCATAGAAGTATTAAGTAACTGTCTTGAGAAATTTCAAGAAAGAAAAGTAATCACATGAGGAAAGAACATTTTAGGGGCCCTCCCTGGTGGCCAGGGATTAAGTCTCAGTGTATCACCCCTGTGACATGAGTTCGATCCTTGGCCAGGGAGCTGACCCACGTGGGCAGCAGACCTCTCCTGCCTCGCCTACTGCTCCCCTCAGCAGTGGATTTCAGGAAATCATTCTGTTCTGCTTACCAGTCTGTCTCTGATGAATCCTTTCACCCCACACACACTGCTGGCCAGCACCCCAGTTCTACACAACAGTAAATAAATAAAATTTCTTAAAGAAAAAGCATTTTCAGTTTTGCTTTAATCAGGAAGACAATGCCCTATAGGAATTTGCCCTATAGAAATGCATTAAAGCAGGTCTGAAAACACAGTTTGACTTTGTACAAATGATGCCATTTCTCACAGGCTTCATTACATAGGGAACATGTGTACAAAAATGACAGAAAAGTGTGCTGGATTATTTATTTATTTAAGTTTAAAATAGCCTCCTTCAAACAGGGTCAACCTGTACTGAATGAAAAATGACCCCTGCAGCCTTTCCACCCTCTTGACATAAAGCCCTACTTCATACTCACGCCTGTCAGGGTGCGTGCACAGGCTGGGCCCCTTCAGACTAGTCCAAAGTGAAGCAGGTGCCTGACATGTCCTAAGTGTGTAGACGCCGTACCTGGGGTTTGCCGGATCCTGCCTTTGTGGGCACTTGGGTGTGGTAACTCAACGTTCTTCTCCCACTGAGGTGGATGGGTGCTGCTCCCCCCCATGGCTGGCTGATGGTTTCCAGTGGTGAGATTAAAATGTCAGCCTCCCAAGTCTTAACCAAATCCTCCCCTCGGG